CTGCGGAACAACAGCAAGGGAAAACGGGCAGAGCAAGGGGACAACAACACGAAAGGCCCAAAGCAACCGAGCAAGTTCGCTTTTTCACGCTGCGGCAGAGGCCGGCAGGCGTGAGAAGCAACTAGAGCGCGTGCAAGACGCGGCTCCGGAAGGCAGCTTCGGAAGGAAGCTGTCCTCGTCCAGTTGGTGCATACGGGCACCACAGAGCGGACGCAGCCACAGCTCGGAGCCGTCTATGAGGTACTTCCTCGAACGGGTAGCACCGGGCTCAGTAGACATAGCGATATGCACTACGTTACTGCGAGCGTTCCACAAGAAGCCCGCAGAAGGAACGGACGCAGTGGCGGGGCCAGATGAGGACCCGCTCGTCGTTCCAGCCTTCTGCACCGTTGGAGGCCCCTGTTCCTCATCCTCTGAAGAGTCAGAAGATTCAGAGGAAAGGGACTCCAGGTCAGCTTCTTTGTGTGGCGTGACCTGAGGCGGCAGGGCCGGCGTGTCACCTGGGGGCGGCACAGCAGCGTCGACAGGTCGGTGGGGGAGGGCTTCAGGCAGGCAGTCGGCCGCAAGGCTGAACGTGTCTGGCACAGCATCTGCGGAAGGGAGCGTGACCGGGAAGTCCGGAAGCGGAGCATCCAAACCTCGTGCCATGGGTTGCAGCGGGCGAAAGCCAGCGCGTATCGCTTCCACCACTAAGCGCTGCAAGCGAAGCATCGGCAGAATGTCGTCCCTGCTGTACAAGGAGACAGAGCGATCAGACCCAGAGAGGCGGTGATGCCCCTGGATCCGGCGCAAATCCGAATCCGCGCGCAGTTGCCGGGCCCAAGAAGCCAGCAGTGTGCATTTCAACGAGTGCGCAGCAACCAGACCAAAGGCCGCAGGAGGCGGGTCAGAGCTGAATTGGCGCCAGTGGCGCAACAGCAGACCACGGAGCCAAAGAACCATGCGCTCCCTTTTGAGAGGGGAGGACAGGAGAGGTCGCGCCTCGGAGCCAGCCAAGGAGGCAGGCGTAAAGTCAAGCACCCGTCGTGTGTCGGGGTTCCGCAAAGGCCGGATACCAGAATGCCAAAAGGCATGCCACGGTTAGTGGTTTTGGTCCGGAGACAGATGCCAACCAGAGCGTGGGCCTGTGCCTGGCGATGGAGCCGGGAAGGAGGGCACCATAGGGCGTCACTCCAGCGGAGCGAGCCCCACAGACACAGGAGCAGGTAACCCAACCGGAGAATTTCAGCCGGAGACGTGGCACTGTCCATCAGAGCCCTCTCCAAAAACACAACAAAGCTGAGACTCAGAGGCAAAGATTCACGATGCTCTGACGGATTGGAGGGGGTGGCGAAGGCCTGACAAAGAGGGGTTGTCAAGACAGAGCGCAGAGACGGCAGGCCAGCCGTTTTGCAAAACCAAGCCAAGGCACGGAGCTGCATGGTTGCCAGACCCTGCTTGCTCGATTGAGATTTGAGTCAATCCGGGAGCAGGCCCGGAGGGGGAGCATGCGGTGCAGCTCCAGCCAACTTACAGAAGGAAGCCCAATTTAGCCATGCGTCGAAATAGCGTTGGAGGGTAAAGGGTGCAAATTTGGTTGCCGCCCTATCAAGGAGGAACTCCGTGTGTTGTGAAGCGGAGGCCTCTGTGAACAGAGCAGAAGCAGAGCCGAGGTCATGCAAGAAAGCCCGCCAACGAACCAGCAGGGACTGCAGAAGAGCATCCGTCTGCGAGGCAGAGGAGGACTCGACGACCACCGGGCTCAAAGACATAGAGCGGCTCGAGGCAGTCGTCAAGGAGATCTCTAAAATCTCGGACGGAGAGGGCATAGCAGACACGAAGGGCACAACAGGGCCGCCAGCCGAGATTAGCGGCCGAAACCTCTTGAACGGCGGAGGTGGCAGAAGAGGTGCTTCCACAGGACGCGGAAACGGCCGGGAAGGCAGCGGAACCGGAAGGACCGCAGGCGAGGCCGGAGCAGCAAGATCGAAGCCACGAGGCCGATAAGAAGGAGACAGGAAGCCCCCACGCCAGCGAGAAACTGGGCGGAAGGGAGGCTCCTGTGCAGCAGGAACAGTCCCAACAGCGGGCCTAACCAAAGACCATGAGGAGGAAGAGCCGGAGGGAGAAGAGGCCGGCGGGCCTGACGGGTGAAGGAAGGCTGGCACGAGACCGGCAGCCGGGCACCAATGTGTGACGCCTCTGCCTCCAGGTCGACTGAAAACGGCACCGTAGCTGGCAGCTGCAGAGACGGAAAAGGAGGCGGAGGCAGAGCCGAGAGCTGCGGACCACAGGCGCCAGACGGCGGCAGCAAACCTCCAGGAGGTACGCGAACCTCCATGAGCTCGACGGCGGTGTCCTGACAAAGGGCAGAAGACAGACAGGACAGAAAACAGCCAAAGACAAGGAGCAAGCAAAGGCAAGCAAAAGCGCACTGTTTTACCTTGCCCGGCGAGACGGGTGCCAGCGGCCTTGCTGCAGAGACAGCAGCGGGCCGGCTGGAAATCTACAAGACCGGTGCCGGGGCATTCCTGAAGGCCCGGAGCTGGCTCGGCGGTCTTGGAGGCGGAGAAAAGTGCAGTGTCGGAGTCAGCACTCATCTGCCTTCCAGAAAAAGGATACAGATATGCTGGTCGTGACCAGTTCTCTCGTTTACCATTATCGGACGGAGACAGAGACCCAGGCAACGATTGCCTTGGGTGTGGCTGACCAGACGACTGCATTGGTGGGTGCAGTACCCCCGGATCTGCAGATGGCGGAGAGGCGCGGAGCCAGACGTTGGAGCCACCGAATGTGTTCACACGGCTGCAAAGCGAACAGGTCCGGATACGGCCACCAGGTCGGCCGGTGCCAGGTTCCGGGCTGCGACGGAGGTTGGATCGTGATGACCCAACCCTCCCTGGACGTCCAGGAGGCGTTGCAGAACCGGTGGCAGGGTCGGCTGGACGTCCACCCAGTGGTAGGACCCAGGCCGAGACTAGCTGGGGACGCCAATTCGACCTCCCACAAGTCATCATCGTCCTGCTCTGCCGCCCTGTCGCGGTTCGGACTGCCGATCGCGCGCCCTTGGCGGTGCCGGAGTCGGGGCCGCATTGGAAGAGTTCCGGAGGCTGAATCGGGCACAGTTGTTCCGAGCAGGGGGCTCCTTGGGTGGCGGACCACCCCTCAGAACCAGCGGCGGAGGCGGATTGGCAACGGGGGCGGGGAGGGGGGTACGCGAGCCGTCGTACCACCCCAATCTGCGGTTGCGGACGCCTCCAGCGTTAGCTTGATCAGCTCGGAAGTTGGCAGATGAGAAAGCGCTGTCTGGCGGGGTTGTTGCGGCAAATCCAGAAAACTCAGGATCTCTGACCAGGCCACAGGACCGAGGGCGGGTGCAGGCTCAACTTCTACCGGCCCGGGGGCAGAAGAAGGAGCAGCACCCTGCTCCGGAGCATCTTCGGCCGGAGCCGCCGGACTTGTCACTGCGTCCTCCGTAAACTCGTCCAGTGACGGGCTCGGGGCCGGAGCCGCAGGAGCCACGGGCATGCCTTCAACGGAGGCAGAGGCCGATTCAGCCGGCGCCGGGGCAGCGGAAGAGTCCGGGGTCGGAAGGACGGCCATGACACCAGACAGGGCGGAAGGCGGGGCAGCAGAAAAACCACAGAACAGAAACGGCTGCGGCAAAAACATGCAACAACAAGAGCGGAAGCTTCATGTGCCGATGTGTACAGACAGCATGCGGCAGCAATGGAAGGCAACCCTGGCAGACACTAGCAGTCCTCAGAGTCGGAACGCCGACGGGGAGAGGAGCAGCGGCGTGAAGGAGGGCTGGTTCTCCGACGAGAACGGTGACCTGAAACAGGACACGGAAAAGAAGCCAAACGGCGCCGGGTCGAGCTGAGCACCGGGCGGCCAGAACGACGGGAGGAAGCAGAGCCGGAACTGCTTCTCCGGTGCCGGTGTCGCCGTCGCCGACCTGGTCGGGCGAGCGGGCAGACACAGACACAGAAGAAGAGGGAGGCAGATGCAGTCGCCTCGTGCCATCGCACAAGCCGCGGAATCCGAAGTCCAAAACCTGCGGTACCGGACAGGCACCGCTCGGGCATCCGCGGCTGCGGGTGCGGGAGCGGTTCCGTTGCGAGCCTAGCAAAGAAACCCAATCCCCGCTCGGAATCTTATGTAGCAATGGTTTGTCGAAGAGGGGAGGGGGTACATGCTGCCGGTGAGGCGGTGAAGTGTATACAAATGCGCTTCCGGGGTGTTTGCTCGAATCTATGCCATGTGTTGGAGGCGAATTGGCGGCATCCCAAACCTCCGTTTGGCTGTTGAACGTTGGGGTTGGTGTATGGGTTGCATCCGTTTTGGTAAATGTTGGCGTCGTATTCTTGCCCAGATGGACCGTGCGCCGAATCGGGCTGAAAACTTTGATGATTAAGGCTGTCGAATGCCGCGAAACGCCTTCTTCATCTTCGGGGGGGGGGCAAAGTGGGGGTAGTTGAGCTGGCTCTGGAAGTGTTGAATGAAGCTGTGCTCTTGGGCGTGAAGGTGTCCGGCGGGAATGCTGAATTGTATCGCTATCGGCTATCGGGACGAACTGGTGGCAACTGTGGTAAGCGTGCCACCACCGTAGTGACAGCTTTGCATCAATGATGGTGTCACGGAGGTGGCGGCCTTATTGTTTCTTCCCAGCAGCCATAGTGCGATCTCGTGGGTGCAGCGGGAAGTTGTCGGCTTCAGGTAACAAGACTTGCAAAATGTTGATGGTAGCCGAAAGGTGTGTGGTGTGGGTGTGGAAGGATTGTGCGTTGTGGTGATGCGTTGTTTGCTAAGTACATCACTCGACGAGCTGGCTCAGCATGCTGAGCATGCGAATGAGCGGGCTGTCCTTCAGTTTACAAAGGTGGGGTGCTGGGCTTCGGCGTTGGCGTCGAGCTGTCGTCGTTCGGTCGTCAGTTGTGGGTACTGCCTGGTACAGCGTGAGGAGTTCACACACACCCCACACACACACAGAGACACACTGGCTAGATAGAACATGCGGCCTCGCCGTCTTCTTCATCGTAAGGGGTCCAGGCACCTCTCCGCCCTCAGTTTTGGCGATGCTCCATTGCACGATCTGACAAACACTTCCAACGGCCTCGAAACCAGGAGCTGCGGATCACTCGCCGATCAGGCTCGTCCCAGTAAACAGCCCTTCACAGTATTGCACAGTTGCATGCGGGATCCCATGCGTTGCGGTGTACCTCAAGACTCTTCTCTCCAGTTCGACATCGTATCTGCCTGAGACATGTCAACCCAGTTCGGACTCTGCACATCTCCTGCATGTGCCAAGAGCGTGGCCGTGATCAATAGGCACTGATGCAGGTAGCCCCTGAAATAGCTTCATGAGTGCATGCAACTGACTGTCAGATGCAAAGCATCGGATCGCCTTTCCGTTCTGGCTTTGGGTCAAGATGTCTTCAAGTCGTTCAGAATCCGAAGGATGGAGCGGCACCCACCTTCAAAGGGAGGCAGGAAAGCTCTCATGCTGCTCAGACTCCAGAAGCCTGCGGTCTGACGGAGAGCTGTCAAGGCCCTCCTTGCAAGTTTCGGACACTCCAAAACACCGCAGCACGCCGCATCTCAGCATGTGTGGTGCCGCGGTCCTGCGCCAGCCATAGGTATGGTGATTTCGAGCCTCACGGACGAGGGTCTGATCGACAGCCACTCTGCCGGAAGAGCAAAACACCACGTTTTCCTGCCAGCGCACCGTGGTTTCGCTCGATGCTACAGCTACCGCTGTGTTGCCCATGTTGTGACAATGGCGCTGGTCTTCGACCGTCTCACAGATGTAACCACCTGCCAGCTCCGCACGACTCCCTAGTCGCCTCTGATAAACCCGACTTGAAATGAGCTGAGGCGACTGCCAAACGCCGTCGGGAGCGAGATGCACGACACGCTCTGGCGAATCGAAGGTCTCTTTGTACACTGCCATTGCCTGAGTATCCCATAAACGCCATGTCCGAGCGTATCTGAAAAGCATTCTGGAGCTACGAGTACGTAGTATGCTTGTTGCTGGATAAAACTGGCTCGGGCTTTGTCCACGGTTGGAAACATCCAGCTGAAGTCGTGACCTGCCAGGAAAACCACTGCTACACCACATCACGTTCTTCATCAGCTCACAGCCGCCACAGCCCACCTGACAAGATGCCGCCGACACGAACCTTTGGCTTCCATGCTGCCACATCGTCGACTACGGCCTCCAACTTCAGTCCGGCTGCTACACCGACACCAAACACTGGAGGAAGCGTGCCTGAAAATCATGACGGGCATCGAGGAAAACCATGTCCAAGGATCCATCAGCCTGAGGGCATAGGGCGGACAACTTGATGCTCGGTTCATTTTGCGCTTCCGGTCTGAACAGCACGTCTGAGGACAGCACAACATCTAAGGATGCATTCATGGAGGTACTGCGATAAAGTACGAACCGACCTTCAAGACAACGCGATAAGGCCTCTAAGGGCAAGAAATCGAGCCGGCGACTGCCGACATTGCACACATGAAACTCGCTCAGGTTCACATTGTTGCTTTCAAACTCGCCTGAATCTTGGAACAGCGACAAGCGATCGATCACGTCATGGAAGAGTTCATCGTTGTTGATGTATGGATCTACGCCTTGCCACGAAAAGGCTCCGACTCTATCTGCTTTCCTACGACGAAAGTCCATCCAAGACCTAGGCCAATGTAGGACAACAGCGGATTGCGCTCCAACAGTCGCTGGCTGGTGTTCGCAGCCTGTTCCAGTGTTGCGACCCTTGCTTTTGCGAGTCATGCCACGAACACTCTCACACTCCTGCCTCCACACCAACTTCTGCCATAACAACGGGTTGCTTGGAGACTCCCAGTACATCAAGCCTAGCACCAAGCGTCTCCACATACAAAGCCTTGACTGCCGTCGACAAGCCCACTGTTGTCTTGGATCTGAACAGGTGGGTGAGTGCGTCCCAGCGCTTTCCCGGAATTTCGTGAAACACCTGAGCTCGAGACAGCACGAAAGCGATTTTCGCTTTGAACACAGCCGCGGAACAACTCGAATGGAATCAACATCGCCGTAAAGCTCATGAACGAGATTTCGCCCTGCAACTCGTCCTGGGCTTGAACACACCACAGCGGAAGCTTGAACATGGAGCCGATGCTGAACATCTCAGGACCCGTCCATTGTGATCAAGCTGGGCTAGGTGAAAATTCAACAGCAGAGTAACGGAGACCTTAGAGGCTTCTCAAGAGCATGCATGACACACTTTCATCAAACAGTCTTCTGGGGCGACGGCATTCTCAATCAGAAGCTGTAGCCTGCGGGCCAAAGCTGCCGCCTTTCTTCGAGAACATGTTGAGCTTGGTTGTTTGAATGTTCAGTAGTACCTTGTCAAAGCACACATGACACCAGCCCCTGGTCATTTGCCCTTGCTTGCACACCAAAAAATGCCGAGAAATGGTCTCACACTTCCCGCAACTGCTCTACTTGTTGCTGCTTTCTGGAAAGACTGAGCTGGTTATGCTCTGCCGATACAGCTGTCATCAACAACGGATTCTTGCAACGAACAGTGAGGCCACCACAGCGGGATTGCTCGTGTGATAACCCAACAGACTCACAGGAGGAACAATTGGGCTGCGTTTTGACGGCTCCTGGGAACATGCTTCCATGCCCTCTTCCTGGTCTGCCGTTGTGTACACACAACATGGCTGGCACTGTGTGTCAAGGATCACCTCTAGTAAGATCTTCACACTGCGTCGCGTTTGCTCCGGTCACATACAGTCAAGCAACAGCTTCCAGCAAGCGCTCTGCACTCAAAGTTTCGCTCTGGACCTTGGCCAGCAAGACAACACATCCGACTTAGAAGTTGCTGGACACATGGCCTCGCCGAGGATATCTAGCACTTGTTGAGCATGCCGTCGCAGAACGGCTCTCGTTGTGTTTGCATAGACCTGCTTTCACTGTTCAACCTCTGCGCTATCGAGAAGGCACAGCCCGAGAACCTGACAGGAGCCTGATGCAAATCTGGTGGAGAAACTCCTTGCGAACTTTTGAACACCTCATCTGCACATGTGCACATCTCCGCACGCACATATTCATCTGTTCTCGCTCAGCTGCTGCGTATCATTTGAAGCGTTCGTGGTTATACAAGTGACGAGATCCTGTCACGATCCCTATGCAGAGTACCTTGGACAGCACAAAGAGCTCGTTTACATCCTCGTGTGTCGGCACCTCTCCGACAAGCTTGACCTCAGGCACTGAAACTCACTTGTTGTTGAAGCCAAGCTTCGTAAGCGACTGAGATGACAACTCCCAGGTCGAAAACTGCAAGAAACAACTCCTCAAGACACAGATCCCAAACGATTCATGTACCCGAATGTGCAAGAAAACAAGACAGATGCGTCCTGCAAGTGCCCACATAAATTCTTGAAGGGAGCCCAATCTGTCTCGTTCGCATAGACCTGCACACTTGCAAAATCTCAAGCCACCCACATGCAACCGCCCGTCCGCCCTCTCGGCCTCCACCGGTGTCGAGGAGTCAATGTTGTCACAAATGACACGGTTGCAGTCAGCGTCCTCAAAGGATGCAACGACAAATAAAGCCTAAACGACCAAAGGTGCGTCCTCGAGCAAATGCTGTCGCAATCGCCCCAAGCACGCCAAGCCTCGAGAGCTGTCGCGCCGCTGTCGCTCGAATCGATGCGGCCGAGGCAAGGATCGCACTGAGAGCCCTGCTCTGGAAACTCAGCCCCTTCCCAGGTAATGCACCTTGACATGTCTGATCTCGTCCAAATCACGCATTCTAGTTTCAACACTTGCGAGCTTGGCATTCGTCGATGTGAAGCGGGTATCTGGACTCGAAAGCGCCGTCTGGGTATCTGAAGGTGACATTCATACTTGGCTGGCGGATGCGCAGGACGACCGTGCCTGAGAACCGCAGAGCAAGGCGGGACCAAAGCCGCCACAGCCGCCAGATACCAGAGACGCCTTCGAGAAGCTGCAACTAGGGTTGCCATCGCGCCCAGCAACCATGGCTCCGTAGATCGCAGCAATACATTTATAATTCAATCACTGATCATAAATCAGTTTGGCAGCACACACATGCAAGGGAGGATTGTCTAGTGAGTCTAGTGAGTCCAGTGCTGCAGCCTAGTTAACGTGCTGCATGTTGACGAACAAGGTTTCCAGAAGCAAGCTGTGGGGTGCTGGCGCCTTCAGTACCGTCTGCCTAGAACATAGCTTAGGTTCCGTGATGTGCGTTTACTCATACCATTCCGGCGTGACATCTGGGCCGCTCAAGGATGCAAAATTCTGTCTGTCTGGACCCACTGTGTACATATGTGTACATGCTTGCGGAGGCGCCTCCTTGCACCATGACATCGTCGATGGCGAAGATTCACGAAATCGCCATGCGCGCCATGGCCAGCATGCCAAGCTGGCTCTGGTGATGCTCGCTCAATAGATACGGTTCTCGGACTGCTATTGACTGCTACGCCCTGGGTAAACTCCGGTTTGACTGCTTATTGCTGCAGTGCCACAGAACGATGCATAATTGCTCCGTCGTATGGGCTACCTGCAGCTTAACCCAGGTGACACCGATAAAACATTTTTCTGTGAAGATGGTTCCTCAGCAGAAACTGACTGGCACTCAAATTAGATTTTCCCGCAAGTTGCACACACGAGCGAGAAAATCATCAGTGAGAACAAGCAGCATCAGCACAATGCTCCAATGCCTTTGCATGGATGCACCACGCCGGTCGGCCCTGAATACATGCCTCCGCCTCTAGTGCTCTGAGAACCTCGCAATAAACTTTGAAGACGGACTGGCAGCTTCTTCGTCTGCTTCTTTTTGCTGTCCTGCAGAACGTCACAAGCTGTGCTGACGATATAGTGCACGTTACACTACATTACTCAGTGAGTTCATGCTCGCTGCTTCACCTGCAAACAAACAGTACATCAAGCTAGCAAAATGTGCTATTTGGTTGCTAGGAATGGGTCTTTTCCACAACTTTGAAGCCCGGAGCGCGAAGGCAGCACAAGTTTCATCAAAGACGCAGACGACAGAGCTTCTTGAAGCAACGGTGACAACCGGGTTGCCAGATGCTGGAACTCGAACTCATAGGCGCTTCCATAACGGTCTCAAGGGAGGTCTCGGGCTGTTTGGCTCTCGTGCTTAGACCGTATGAAATGGATTGCTGCTGGTCCTGCTCTCACAACGCATGCTCTTTGTTTAACTCATGCAAGCGGGCAAGAACTTTGGATTCTTCGCAGCTGCCGGAACTGCGCACAATGACATGGAACACAAAGTCCTGAACCAGCGATTCTGCGATAGTAGCAAGATGGCCGTGACACTCCATCCGGCCCCTTGGTATGGCAGGCGCCCGTTGTCCTTGGCAGCAACATGCGCTTGCACATATATTCAGGGCCGGCGGGGCACGTCCGCGCCTGGGCCGGACAAGATACAGCAACGAGTTCTGTTCGCAGTTTACGCGAACCTCCACCAGGTCAAGGACCTCACGGGACCATGCAGAGGATGTTTTCTCATGTCTCAACATGGCTGCAGGAAGCCAAACTGCAGTTTTGGGACAACACACCCTTCACACAGCCCTAGCCAACTTTTATGTAAATTCACACAACATGGGTAGGAGTCTTCGAAAAGATTCTGAAACGGAAGCACTACAGCCCTCAACCGAAACGAACTCCAAGCAAAGCGCACCTAGGCCCTTCCGTTCGAATTGAACGGACCATGGAACACGCGCACTTTCATAGCAATCTTGGCCACGTGCATCACCAGACGTGCTGCCTTTTATCCAGAGTTGATTTCGAGATGTGCTCCTGAGCGAACCAAATCAGCACATGCAAAGTGGAGGGTCGTCTCTCTGGGCTCAGCGAAAGCGGTCCAGAGAACGCAAACTCTGCGATGTAGAGTTTCCATCAGCGCCTGAGCACCGGGGGTTCTTTTGCTGGACTTCATGCGGTTGGGTAGTACAGATAGACCGATAGACCTCTACACTTCAGAAATGAATGGATTAGCAGCAAGCTGGCCTGTTCGTTGGCAAAGGCTACGATGAGCACCTGTCATACTTCGGCAGTTGAACTGACGAACACTTCCATCACCCTGCCTCTTTGGAGTCAGCGCTCTGCACCGCCACCTGGTGGAGTTGACGAGCTGCTGAACTTTGGAAGGAGACCGTGCAGTAGGCGCCAAGCAGGGATCACCGGCGACTCGCACAAGGACACCTTGCATTGCATGCGAGATGCTGAAGTCTGCAACAAGCGAGCCAATGCGATTCGACCAAGAGCCTTCTTGAGCTTCTCCCAGTCCAGGTTAAGTATCTTGCCCTGTCACACCCTCCCTTTCCTTTCACAATCTTGCAGCACACTACCCAAAAGATCCAAGCTAAGTTTCGGAGCCTCTTCCAATTCGTGGTGGCTTGCCATCGGCGCAAGCTTAGCTTTACGTGCTGGTGTCTTTACTCCGGGTTGCTGCTTGAGTTCTGAATGTAGATATAAGATGGTATCAACCAATCTTCGAAATCTCGTTGCTGCCTGAATGCCGAGACGCAGACTTTCTGCAGAAATCGATGTCGGAATTGGCATGACAGTGGAACTGCTCCATAGTCCATGATGCAGAACATCGCTGCCGCGAGCAGAAGTCGAAGTCACTCAACGTCTGCACTCTGTGTGTGTGTGTGTGCAGCTTGTGCTGTTCCGATATGACTTTTGACGTGCATAACTCCACTCTCTTTAACTGGATTTGCAGCACATGTTATGCCACTGACAAGTTACGATGTCCTCTTTGAGGATTTCGATCTAGAGCTCCTGGCATGTGCCCATGAATACACAAAGCCGCCAGCGGTGCTGCCTGCCAAGCCTATCCATCCAAGCGCAGTTAGATGCGCCCCGAATAGCAGCATTCCGACGACAGTAGACAAGATGCCTTTTGAGGTGCCGGCCACTGCTGTGGCAAGAGGGGAGTTTTCCGCAGTGCACCAGAAAGTTGAGAAGTTCAGCACGGCACCCAGGAATACATATGGCAGCATGAACAGCACAAGGTTAGACACTTCCCCCGGGCCTTGTAGAAATGATGCAACGCTTGGTAATTCAACAGCCGTCAGCGGCACGAACAGGATAGAATTGTAGAACGCAGTATAGAAGACTAAGTCCATCGAAGACATTTCGGCTCTGTCTTGAGCATTGCGTGCCAGCACGAGGTACAGAGACTGGCAGCCAGCTGCCGACAATGCAAGCATGTAGCCGACCAGGTCAAAGTCCAAATCGCCGATGCCAGTTACAACAGTACCAGCAGAAATCAAGGCCACTCCCAAACATTCCCATGCATCCGGACAGGTCCCACGGATGTACCAGTCTTGAACCATGGCATACACTGGTTGCAATCGCTTCAGGATATTGTAAACAGGCAAGCTGGTGCGTCGCATGGCGATGAAACTCAAGTACATGTTGAGTGCCTTGGCAACCGTAGCCAAAGGAAGATGCTGCAATACTCTCCAACTCCAGGGTTGGTATCCACCTGTCAGGGAATCATCTGCAGAAGCACATTGCAGCACGCTCCAGGACATTATGCAAATATCACACATTACGCAACTGTTTTGAGAAACTCTGACCTTGATACACATACAACGCTGCAACAGTAGCCCAACATTCAATCAGCAATAACAAACTGGACCCTGGGAACTGCCAAGCAGAAGCAGCATATTTCGTCAAAGATGTCATAGCCAACGAGCTTAAGACGTACAATGCCACAGAAATAGACTTTGTGCTTTCCGTTGGCAACATCGATGTCACGGTGCCACCATAGACACGGACACCATCCTGAGGCTTGCCCTTTGCGGACAAGCCTTTCACAGATCTTTCCAGCAAAACCGTCTCTGGGCTGTCCGCTACAGTCATACTGTTGATGACGCTTGGCGCCAAAACTTCGGGTCGGGCAATGAAGCATCAAACCCGTGGATAGATCAACCCGGCAATGCACATGTTTCCCGAGCTGAAAAATTGCCGTGCCCAAATCCAAATCGGTTGCCAGGCCCTTTGCCCTCAATCTTTGAATCAATTCTTGTGACGACGCCGTGAACACAAAGTCATCAAACCATCCTTCCTTCCATCGTCAATACCCGGGTAAACCAAGCCACAACTGAGATACAGCTTGCTGACATGAACGAGACCGCGAGATCACCAGCACGCAAGAAGTCGGTGCCCGATTTCCAAAGCATTCTCAACAAACACAGTCACCACTGGATTTACAATTCCGTTCACTCAATCACGAGATCCAGCTAGCTGGTGCACGCATTCGAATCGCTTGCTGGAGCGCCGCATTCTGCGTGGAAGTTGTTTCGTGTGTTGTGCCGTTGGTGGCATTGGGTGATGATTCGTCTTTCCAAGGTTTCACTCCGTGAGATCCAACCAGCTTTCCGTGACACGGGCGAAAAAATTCCTTTCGTGTTGAACAACATGCTGTTTTTTTATTTGGAAGCGCAGAGCTTAGGTCTGAATCGATCTGCACCGACCTGTCAGATGCGCTTCTGGGTTTGACGGCTGGGTTTGTGAACTACAGCTGACGTTTGCACTAAACATGTCTCGGCCCAGTGTGGGCTGGGTCTATTCGATTGAGGCCTCTTGCATGCCGATATGCTGCTGAAGGCACAAAGGTAGCTTGTGTTTCAAGAAATTCTGGGTGTGGATACAAATGGCCTAAATACTGGTTAGTGCATGGTAAAACGGAGGATCAAAGACTTTGTGATAAAAAGAAGATTTGATGTTAAAAATCCGTCGCAAACACTTGTAGTGAGTAGAATCCAGTTTGATAAGTTGTGTCGGGGTAAGAAGAATGCTGTCCATTGCGTACATGAGAACGGATTGCACTACCGAGCGGTAAACTAGCAGTTTCCAATTCGGAGGCTTCATAAAAGGAGCCAATTTTCTAAGTTTCCATTACCTTGGACAATCTTGTGGAAAAAATTGTTCAACAGGTGTACCACTGCTCTAGCGCACACTTTTTCGACGCATTGCATCTGTATTGGACCAGGCTGAAGGCATAAAAACCCGGGTCCACCCTGAAATCGCGGTTGCACCGGAGCGTGATGGAAAGCAGGTAGGCGGCCCGGAGAGGCAAGGGGGGACACAGCTGAGACAACTGAGACACGCTGGTCCAACAAACCTTTCTCAACGGATTTTTTTCTCTCTGGAGGGTGTTCCAACTTTCCACAATTTGATCACTGCAGCCAAGGTTCGGACATGAGTCAGAATTTGGTACTTTCAAGCACTGTCGATCCCAAAAATGGTGACGAAGCTGCTACCGAGAGTCATGTCCTTGATTCAGGCAGCACCGCTATCTGCCTCCTTCCTCACATCTT